TTGCTGGAGTTGCCAGGCAACCGCCCTGCCTGCCCATCGTCCCCCAGCCTCCTGCTTGCTCAGGTGTCCAGGGAGGCCTGACAAGCCCGCTCCCTGGGGCTAGAGATGTTCACCAATGTATCCACGTCTGCTATTCTCACCCAGGTGTGATCATCCACACCTCGGGTGTGAAATGACTTTGCATTTGGAATGCAGAAAAACGCGTGGATGTGCGAACAATAAAGCAAACACTTGTTATTCCAAGTGTGAGCTTCTGTGGAGCTGAACACATGTGATATTATAGTGGGAAGACCAGTGAACTAAAACGAATGGAGACAAAAATTCCTGGAAAAATAATCCAGAATAGACTCCCCATAAAACTTATACTTGTTTGATAAAAAGAAACCCCTGCAATTACACACTAAGCTCCTCAGGCACTAGTGCGTAGCCTCCATCTCCCTGGACGAATCGGTCTGCAGTGGTCCCTGGGGAGCTCTTCATTCGGTCAGCCACGCATCCGAGAATTTCCTGAGCGTGAGCTTGAACATACCGAGTGTGAGCCGGGCACCGTGGCATCTTCCTTGCCCAATTTATGGTCTGTGGGTCACATCATGCAAATGCACGGCTCTGACATGGAAAGATTCGGATTATATTTGTGCTAAGGGCAGAGGGATGCAGGGAAACAGAGGAAGGGCTTTTCTTGGTGCATCCAAGATGACTTCCCAGGGGAGTCTGATTATCATAAGAGCAGAACCCTGAAGGACTAAAACTCGTCAGAAGCCCAGGTGCTTGTGTGCAAGCAACGGAAATTGGCACCGGCCGATTCTTCCGGAAAGGAGATTATTAAAAGATAATTGGGTCATTCGCTAGAGGGTTGGGGGAGGAGCCACACTCTACACTGACGTCCAGAACTAGCCCGATGAGGAATGTGCCCCTGCATCGGGCACACCAACCATGGAACCTGCCACCCATGACATGGCTGGGCAGGGCCCTTGCCCTGCTGCCACCCCTGCCCTGGATGCCCCACCACCACCCTCGCCTCCTTCTTCAAGTTGCTGGTCTCTGGGTCAGAGATCCAATAGTCACACACCAGCATTTAGCTGCAAGAGAAGCTAGTGAGCCTGTGGTTCCAAATATAGCAAAAGTGTTCCACAGAGGCCGAGCTCCCAGAAAACGTGATAAAGCCATTACGGCAGTGAGGAGGGTGGTCTAGGAGAAACAGCCACCAGGGCAAAGGGCCACGGAAATAGACTGTTTCGTGTTGCTTCTCCCTTCTTTGTGCAAAAATTCAAGTCTTATAAAAAAAAAAAAAGCATGGATATCTGTCATCGGCCAACATTTTGCTTTGCCAAGAAAGGTATTAGAACCACAACTCCTACAATTTACTGTCGTGATCAGTTGCCAAACTAAAGGATATTTTAACACCAAAAGGAATGGTGGGCTTAATCTTGGGACCGGGAGTGACGGTTGGATTCGCATACATTTGGCTGGATGGAAATCCTCAGTGCACTGTGCTTATATCTTTCATTTTGTGTGGACAGGTGGAAGCTCATCAGGGCCAACGGTGACCCATGGGTAGGCGTGTGGGAGCCCCCCTTCCCATTCATTTGCTTTAAACATGGGGCCGCTGCAGGTGGGGGTTAAGCAGAAAGGGGCATAGCTTCTATTTTAGAAGGACCATCCTGGTGGGCACGTGGAGGACGACTTGGGGGACCAGCCTGGAGTTGCGGGTCATGGGGAGAGACGGTGGCCAGGATGGGAGGAGAAGCCCCCGGAGAGAAATGGAAGGGGTCGAATCAGAAACCTTCCTTAAGGGGCACCTGGGTGGCTCAATGGTTGAGCATCTGTCTTCAGCACAAGGTGTGATCCCAGGGTCCCGCTTCTCCTTCTGTCTGTGTCTCTGCCTCTCTCTGTGTGTCTCTCATGAATAAATAAATAAAGCCTTTAAAAAAAGAAAAGCCTCATTAACAATCACTTTGACAGGAGTGGGTGTGTGGCTTCTCACATCCTTTCTTGGTCTGCTCTGATAATAATGCTTCCATTTTAAAGGTCTGTTATCTTCTGTACTGGAATACAGAGGCTGAAGGGCCAGGATCCTGATGCTCCATGTGCCCAAGACTGGCTTCCAGGAGACACACAGCAGGCGAGCCACCGGCCTTCCCGCCACGCTGCCCACCCCACACGAGGCTTATGCTACACACACCTCTGTTCCGGTGGTCTTCTGCTGAGCCCCGACGTGAAGACCCCAAAGAAAGTTTTGGACTGTATATATATATATACAGTATTATAGGTATAGGACATGCCTATACAGATATTCTTCTCAAAAGCAAACCAACTGAACTGGGAAATTAAGAAAAACGGCTTCAGATATTTAAAAAGTCACAGACATGACCAGTTCACGTCCTCAAGGTTCTCTTCTCCCTCAGTAGGTGGAACATCGGCTCGGAGGGCAAAGTTAAAAAATACTCTTCTGGCCAATCTGGAGCAGAAACTGTCATACAAGCCATTGGGAACAACTGGTAGAGCAAATGATTTCAGTTACCTTAGGAGGAGCTCCCTGCTTTTTTAAATAAGGAAGAAAGATTACATCTTCATTTTCATTAACCTCTACCTGAGCATTAGCGTTTCCTTCGGGCATGCATGCAGGCGAGGGACCTCTATCAGGAATCCCTGTGATTTTGCCAACAATTTCTCAATCTCAGATACATGAAATGCTCATCACTATTCTGAGTTTATGGTGGATGAGGCCTGCTACTAGGTTGGTATTTAGGGCATAAAATAGCATCATTATTCCCATGACAATTTAAAAAGCCTTTTGCTAACTGTATGTAAACATAACTGCTTTCATTTGTGAGCACTGGGTTTCTTTATTTTATGCATTTACCTAATTGCTAGGACTCTACAGCTTTATCCGACTGCCACAGGGGTCCATGGCACAGAAGGGGTTAAAGCCTTGCATCACACCGCCCCAGCCCCACTCCCTGGTTTCCGTAACAGGATGACAGGCTTGCAGGCAACAGAGGCTCTTTCTTCACTTACAAAAAAATTGTGGCAAAAAACACACAACAAAGCCTATCAGCTTAGCCATTTTTAAGCGGTTCAATACAGTTCAGTAGTGAGGCACGTTTATGTTATTGTGCAACCCACCTAGATGAGCTCTTTGATGAAAATGACTGGATCTTAAAAGTGGAAGACTTCTATTATATGTCAAGTCCACCTCCATAAAACTGGAATTTTTTTAACAAAGAAAAATTGGGGCTAAGTGCAAATATTTTAAATACTTAAGGTTTTAGGGAAATGGACACGAAATAGTAAGGTTTACCTACTGAGCACACACTTTCCAGCAGAGGTCTGTGAGGGATAGAGGGACAACCCGGCTTGCTCGCCGCACCCAGCCTCCTCCCCAGTGGCACCCCTGGCTCCTGGTTTCTCAGGCAATGGCCTGTGTGTTGTCAGGTTTCTCTCTGCTTCTGATGCAGCAGCAGGGCACAGCCGGGGGTGCACAGAGCTCGTACTGGCCACTGCATCGGCCAGGCCTGTTTACTGCCTGCCCCCACCTCCACCCCCAGCTGCTTTCCTCATCTTTGAAACTGAAAACAAGGTCATCATTAATTGGAGCAAATCTTTCATAGACCACAGGTGTGAAGCAAAGCCTGGGCACTTGGCTGCATTCTTTCCCCCCCAAAATAATCCAGGTTACTGTTTAGGGTGATGCCATTTCAATCCATTTTACATGAAGTTGAATTTTATTACAGCACAAATCATGGACCCAACTGACAGTGTTTCCCTCGTGCCCAGAAATGGGAAAGCTGCTTTGATGTGTGTACGCTTGAGTTCCATCTCTGCCATGTTTTACCCTTCAAACACTCCAAACACTGAGCTGGCTCTGATGCCCTCACTGCTGGCCGCATGTTTTACATTGATTGCGAACCCAGGACGAAGCCCGTTCTATCTACCTCTTCCATAGCCACGCTATAGGCATTCAGGGATGCATTTCTCTCTCAGAGTCATGGTTGAGTCCCTCCCGTGATACATTCATGGCACCAGGCTCTGGGGATTCAGTGATGAGTTTAGACTTGATGACTTCAAGGAGCTCCAGGTGGTGTTTCAGGGTGGGGGAAGAGCTCAAAGGTATGAGTGTGGCGGATGAGCAAGGGAGTTCTGCAGCTGATGTGCATGGGAGGTGCAGCCAAGGGGGAGCATGAGCCCGGACGTGACCGTACAGCGGGAAGCAGGAGGGGAGAGTGGCCGGTGGCCCAGGTGGGAGGATGATGAGTAGTGAGTAGTAAGGAGAGCACAGGGAGAGAAGGCAAAGGTCCAGCAACGGTTGGGAGATACCAGGGTGCTGGATCTGGTGACCAATTGTGGGGAAGATCCTGGGGCCAAGTCTGGGCTTGGCTGCGGTGTCAGGTGACACAGGGGGTGGGGGCTTGGTGATCACAAGCAATTTGGCACATGCCCCATGTGACATGGATATATGACGGTCAAGTGAGAACCAAGGTAGGAATTTATTATGGACAAAATTGTCTTCCTGGGAAACTGTTTTCTTTTTTTTTCTCAACCGAATCTTTTTTTTGAATATTTGGTCCTCAAATACACCTGTGAATACCATAACTTTATATGCAAATTACTATTGTTTCAAATGTCAAAATTAACATCAACAAGGAACTGGAGATTCAATGCTGGGCCTGAACTCACCACCCTGAGATCAAGACCTGAGCTGAGATCAAGAGTTAGATGCTAAAAAAAAAAAAAAAAAAAAAAAAAAAAAGAGTTAGATGCTTAACCCATTGAGTCACCCAGGTGCTCCAATAAGTAGAGATTTTAATTGAGCTTCTTGGACCCCAGCCTATGGAATATTCAGTAAAAATATAAAAGTCATCTGCTAAACCAATGGTCACCTTGTCATCTAGGGGTGGCTCTTTAGGGGAGGGAGCCATCCATTATTCTATGCACAGATACTTAAACTAGGTTTTACTTGTTTTATTTGGGTACAGAAAAACACACGCACACTTAATAGGTTAAAATATCCAAATAAAATTTACTGCAACTTTTGTAGAATTTAATTTGTGCTACAAGACATGTTGCATAGGAAACTATTTAAAGCCCCTGAGGAAAAATATCCATGGTTTAAGGTGCAACTGGTTTTGTTTCTTCTTTGGGGAGAAGGCGAGAGATGATCTCTGGAAAGAATGAAGGTGGAAACGAGAAGCAGAATTTAAGGTTATTTCGTGTGATGATTGGGGAATTGCATGTCCTGGTTCTTGCAGCATAAAAAAAAAAAAAAAAAAAAGTAGTGTTTTTCTCTGTTGATTTTTTTTTCCCCCTAGCTGGTTGGTCTTCAGGATCTGAATCAATAGATATATAAGAATGTTTCAGCCCAACAGGGATCATACATTGATTACAGTAAGTAATTAACATAACATGTTTCAAGACAGCAGATTTCGAGCATGAGGTCCGGGAATCCCAATGGCCCACAATCACTTCACACAAGCCCACTGCATGTCCCGGCACATTCCTGGGAATCAACTCTTGATTTGCCAAATAATTATTCTTCAATCCTGCCCCTTCCTCCCCTCGGAGCTGCCGCAACCACAGTGCGATCGTGGAAGCCAACACTGCGTGCCCACACACAGCCACGCCGATCTACAACCGTAGAGGTCATCAATGCAACGCTCTGGCAAATCCCTGACTTTAGGTTGGGGAATGTTATTTTAGAAAACGTCCATCCTGCTCAGAAAACCTTTATATTGTACATAAAAAAAGATGGAATCCCCTCCGCTATTATTTCCTAGGACACGTGGGTATGACCAGAAACGGAGAGGGGTGGATTTCATATAGAATGAAGTGGAGAGTTGGCCAGTGGCGGCAGGCACTGCTGCACACACATTAGCGCAGGGCACCCCTCGTGGTGAAGTCTCCCTAGTGGCCACGGGGAGGAGAGCCCTGAGCTGTGCCCCCACGAAGAAACAGGACCGGCGGTGGCTGAAGCCTGCAGGGACTACCACACTGCAAATGGCACACAGTTTTCTTGAACAACAACCTTCATGCTGGTGGGGGCCACCAAGAATGCCAGCTCCCAGCTGTCTTTTCATCTCAAGGGCACCTGCTTGCTCGTGTAGGATTTTACTTTGCCAAATAAAGCTCAGAGAAGGCTTGCATGTGCTCTCGCTGACCGGTTACTGTAACATGAGGCGGAGGTACAGAAAAGAATGCAGGTGAAAAGGGACAGCAGGACCTGGGACATTCTCAGAAAGGATGGACAAGAGCTGGACTCATCTACTGAAAAACCACGTTCCTATTTGATTTACCCTTTTTACAAGTAGAGAGCAAAAGAGGTCCAACACTTGAACAAGCGTCTCTCCGTGCTAAGTGTTGAAATGCAAAGGGTGGCTGGGAATCACAAATGCCCCCAGTGACCTTTAAATACATATATACATCTGTAACATAATTTAAAAAGGTCTTTATATAACATAAAAACCTCAACAGCATCCGCCCCTATTAAGGTGGGTTTCTTTTTCTTTTTTTTTTAACCTTTATGGTCCATTAAAAAAATTAGATACCACCCTTCTCATATGCCTCCCCTCATACTTTAAAAAAAGTGACTTTTAAATTTAAATTTATACCTAACAAATAGAAAGCTATCTGATTGGCAACAACCTGCAGTAGAAATTCCCTTCAGGCCCCCCCGTGATGGAGGAGGACCGTGGAGCATTGTGTGTGCTTGGTCCTTGGGTGTGGGTCCAGCCTCGAGGGAGCCCGGATGTGTCAGAGCAGCCGGCCCTTCCTCCCTCCCCAGCTCCAGGTGACCATGCGCCAGGTGACCACATGGGCCTCCAGGACAGGCAGAGGGCGGGTGCCCCGGAGCAGCAGCAGGTGGACGTGAACCCGCTCAAATCACAAAGTCGTCGTGGTCCACTGGGCTGAAGGCAGCTGCTCTCAGAATGTCCAGCGAGTTCACAAGGATCAGAGTCCCTGTGAGGTGTTTCCAGCGCTTGGTGATGGGGTTCTTCATCTTGTCCAGGCCTATGTGTAGCTCCTGGATGACGTCCCGGTAGCTGTCCCCGATCTGGTGGCTCCAGGTTAACAAAAAGTCATAGGCAGGTTTCCACATGGCCTGGATGGTGGAGTCATCCCAAAGAAGAGGAGGGAGGGGGAAGAAAAGATGAGGGGACAGTAAGAGACGTGATCCTATTATTCGATCCTATTAACTCCAATCCCTTTGCTCATTATTTATGTTTCTCATTGGAGAGTGGGACAAACCCAGAGAAACAGGTGGAACCGACTCTGTCCAGAGCCAGCACGTTTCTGAGGGAAGAACGTGTTTTGTGCGAGTGCAGGAAGGCAGGAGAGTGTCTGAGCAAACACGAAGGGCTTCTCTCCTTACAGACCCTGCTGCGGGGTGCCTGGGTGGCTCAGTGGTTGAGCGCCTGCCTTCAGCTCAGGTCATGATCCCGGGGTCCTGGGATCAAATCCTACATCAGGATCCCCACAGGGAATCTGCTTCTCCCTCTGCCTATGTCTCTGCCTCTCATTAATAAATAAATATATCATGAAATATATATTTAAATATATATAAATATATAATAAATAATATGAAAAAAAAAAAGAGGAAAATACCTAACAATCCCTGCTGCATTTTCTAGGTGGGCCATTTCTTTAGAAATTCACTGTGCTAATAAAGGACGCTCTTATTCTGGGACATCCTCCTTCCTAGGAATCTCAGGCCAAACCCAGCTTTCCAGAAGCTTCCGGCCACCCTTGCCAACAAGAGAGAAGACAAAGAATCTCTGAGGAGGAACCCGACCGGCTCCGGCCAACGTTACCCAACAGAGCCCTGGAATGTCACCAACACAGACCTGGCCAGTGACCGAGCAGGAGTGGCCACCAAGGGCTCCTTGGCACTCTGCTCTGTCTGACGGATGGTCACTTAAGAACGGGACAATCAGGGACGGGCGGTTCTGCGGACACCTCATGCCCAGCGGCCTTGTCAGCGGCAGGGCCCGACTCCCAGCCAATGGCCTTGAGGAGGAGGAGCCGCGCCCCACCCGGGGGAGCCCACCAGGTGCTGGATGCACACTTTCTCAACCTCACCCCCATCGACACGCTGGAAAGCAGACACAGTCGTGACTGAATTCCACAGCCCAGGCTCACCTCACTGTCCACGACCCCGTTCCTGTCCCGGTGCGGGGACTCGTAGGCGTCCATCTGCTGCTTGGACACCTTGGCGAGCTTCTCGGCCAGCTCCCGCCAGCGCTGCGCCACCTCCACCGCCGTGGTCAGGAGCACAAAGTCCTGGATGAGTCTGACCACCAGGCCCTGGCAGTCCATCTTCAGTAAGGCCTGGGGAGGAAGGAGCAGAGCACGAGGCAGGTCAGAGGGCAGGCTCTGCTTTCAGAGGCCACACACGCTTTACCTCCAAAGTTCAGAGGCCTAGAAATGTGCCCCTTGGGCCCCAGCATGGCCGAGGCCCACAGAATGGAGGGAGAGCAATGATTTTTGCAGGGTGGACTGGGTTCGACTGTGCTCTCTCCCCAAATTCACGTCCACCTGCAAAGTCAGAATGACCATATTTGGAAATAGGGTGTTTGCAGGTGTCCTTAGTTAAAGCCACCTGTCCTGGTGGGTTAGGGCAGCACCTCATCCCGTGCCTGGTGGTCTTTATAAGGAGGGAGACAGAGACAGAGGGAAGAAGTTCACACAAGGACAGGGGCAGAGGTGGGGGTGAGGCGGCCCTAAGACAAGTAGCGTCAAGGACCGTAGGAGGAACCAGGAGCCAGAGGCGAGGCCTGGCCAGGCCGTGCCTCCCAGAGGAGGAAGCAGGCCCACGAACATGCCTCTGCTGTGCTGGGCCACCCAGTCCGGGGTGCGTCGCCTCAGCAGCCTGGGGATGCTGACCGACGGGGTGAGGGTGGACGCTACCCTCTACCCTGTCCTGACTCCTGTGGGAGCAGCTGGAGATGGTGATGCTTCACGGAGACGGGCCACACGCCCAGGGCTCAGAGGACTGGACCAGGAGCTCCATGGGCAAGAGGGCTCAGACTGGGGCCTGGGGCACACACCGACCCCTGGGCTCTCAGGTTTGGGGGGGGCGAAGGGAAGCCCCTGTGGAGGATGAGAACGGACAGGCCCAAGCTGAGCCCGGGAGCACCATCTGAACACTTTCTGGAATCGGTAGGACTGCTCCCTTGCCAAAGCTCAGAGAACTTTCTAGTGTGTCTTCAGCACAGGAGTCACCCACCAACTGCGGAGACTCAGGAGGGAAAAGAATGCCCGCCACCCTTCGAAGGAAGGAGGCAAGGGGACCGAGCCTGGCTCATGTCCCCGCCGGGCTCGCACCTGCAGGCGGCCACCTTGGGACCTGCTCCCCCCTCTAGGAAGGGGCCGGACTAGGCAGGCTTCCAACAGTGGGCTCAACGCTCCAACGTATCCCGTGTGACCTCGCACTGGGGGCTTGATGACACACAAATCAAATCAGCCTGTGCAAACCAGCGGCCCACGGATCTGCCCACCGTGAGATGCAAAAGGCTTGTCACCCAAGTCCTGTGATGGTCGCCGGCCGCTACGTGGGCCTCACACCGTGCCCAAGCCTCTGCCGCCCAGCGCAGATGCAGACGACACCCCAACAGCAGGAAAAGTGGGCCCCAGAGGCAGCCCGGAGACGGTTCCTCAGGTGCTCAGATGGGGGGCATAAGCCCGGAGAGGCCAGAAGCAGGAAACATCACCTGGTGTTCTTTCCGTCCTTCTAGGCTCCATCTGAGCACCTGCTGTTGTTGCGCCAAGACTCCGAAGAGCACAGGCTAAAAGCAACCCCCCCCTCGGTCCCCCGCAGCCCCTTCCGGACTGAGCCGAGCACGCAGCCCCCGTGAGAACCGAGCCCGCTGTTCTGCGAGGACGGCGAGTGGCCTGGGCTGAGCAGCTGAGGTCTGCTGCGTCGCCTGCTTGAAAGGGCGCCGCTCATTCAGCCGAGTATCCTCACCTCCGCGTCCCGTTTACACCGGGGGAGCTTGACGAGAGGGAGCAATGGGGGCTCTTCCAGCAACGTGCCGACTGCACAGCTGGACGCCCCAGCGGGGCACTCTCTGCAATTCAGAACAGGGGTGACGACGGGTCACGGTGGTGCTGCCGTGGGCCCGGGGACGGGCACCCGGAAGGGAGCCGGAGGGTGACCTCGTGGTCCTTCTCTGGTTTGGTCTGTGTGGTCTGAAAGAAGCTGCTGCGGGTGGGGAGATATGGGGAGCCGGGCCTGCGCTCGCGCACTGCTCACAAGCCCCAGCAGGCAGGTGCTGAGCTCCCCCATTTTGCAGAGTGAGGGAGAGGCTGCGGCACCTGCACGCACAGGTGGCCCGTCCTGGGTCTGCACAGGTGGCCCGTCCTGGGTCTGCAGCTGGGGCGGGGGGCTCTGCAGTTCCGAGGGCACTCACTGCCCAGCGTCAGGAACGGACTCAAATAAAACAGGGATCTGGGTTAGGCTGACACGTCAGCTATTTACGTTATTTCACAAAACGGTCTGTTCTTACTTGAATTTTGATGCGCTCCGGTGAAACTGTTTAAGGAATAAATACGTAACAGATCTATGTATCAGAACACAGACCACCGTCTAGGTCCACGTGCATGGCAGGGGGACGTCGGGATAAATCGGTAGAATTCCGGATTTAAGTTTCTGTGTAGTGGTGCGTCCCCCTGCCACCCGCTGTCCCGGGGAGGCACGTGGCCGCCACAGGGTGGGGACGGTCGGTCTCCTCCGTGTCCCCGCTCAGCACTGGCCCGCGGCTTCCCAGCGCACACAGGCCAACGTGCGTCCGTGTGCTCGGCCGCTGGGCTCCGGGGGCAGCCTCGTTTTCTAGGCAACAGAACGTCCCAGAATCACGCTTCTGATTCGGGTCGCCCCGGCAGGAGCGAGGAGGGCGTCTCTGTCCCCAGGAGCACCAGCAAGGGCCGGGGATCGCGGGGCGCGGGGTGAACTCAGGGATGGAGGCGCGCGGTTCCCTGCTAACTTCAGGTCTGCTGAAGGGACCGCCACCAAAGGGCAGTTTACGCGTTTTTTTTTTTTTAAAGGACGTAGCCTGGGTGCCACCGGGTCCTGGCAGTAGAAAGCTTCCTGGCAGGAGGCTCTGGCTCTGGCTCTTTTCCCCGTAGCTTCCTCCTTCACTTTCGCGTGCATGTGCATGCACACACACACACACACACACACACACACACACACACGGGTAATCCCAAAAAATCCCGTTTGAGATGATGCTGATTCCAGCAGCGAGCTCGCTCGCCCAGTGGACCGGAGTTGGAGCCAGGTGACCAAACCTGCTCTCGACCAAGGGCCAGGCAGGGAAGAGGTCTTGGCTCTGCGGGCCACGCGGTCTCTGCACCCCCCTGCCCCCCCCACCCCGAGTCCACCGGTGTGGACTGAAGGCAGCGTAGATGGTGTTTGAACCCACGGGCATGGCTCAGTCCGGCCCAACGTCACTGCCAAAAGCAGGCGGCCCAGGAGCCAGTCTGCCAAGCCCTGTTGCAGGAGATGTTCTCGTGAAAAGCCGGGGAGGTACAATTCCAGTTTTGCTGTGAATCCCACCGCGCTTCTATTCCCAAGGTGTGCAGACGTCCCGAGGGTCGTCCCCCCCACATGGGCGAGCGCAGCAGAGCCTCCTGCTCCGGGGCCGCCCAGCAGGAACCCCAGGAGCCACCTCAACGCCAACTAATGCCCCTCTCTGCGGGGTGCGGAGGCTTTTTCTCCCGACCCTGAGAATCCCTCCACACCACCCTCTCCAGCCCCCACCTCCCCTCCCCGAATCTCCCAGTGCACCCCTCTTTCCATCACCTTCCAAGGCTCCAGGGGTTTATTCCCCTCCTGCTTCAAACCCGAAAACAGCCGCCCTTCCCCTGATTCGTATCCTAGAGTAACTCTTTCTCAGAGAAACTTTTCTAAAGAGCCCGGCCCCAGAACCCAAAGACCCCGGCCACAGCCACCACCGGTGACCCCTGGTCGCCAAGCCCGGTGGCGTCACCCTGGCGGCTCCAGCACCAGCACCAGCTCTGAGCGCCGGCCCCAGACGCGAGGCGGGACGCCAAGAGGACGTTATGGGGCTTCTCGGAGCCAACCGGCCAAGACAGGCCAGCAGAGGCAGGTGGGCAGCTAAGAGGATGGAGAACCCGGGTCACGGGAGGCCGTGCGGGGTCCAGCGAATGCTTTCCCCGTTGGCTAGCGGCCCGGGTGTGCCCTATAGTGTGACACCGACGTCCCCCGTTCCACCTCTCACGATCGCGACTCCCAGTCGTGCCGGAGAAACAGAGGCCGCCCTCAATCCCTACTCACACGTGCCAAAAAAGGAGGCAGAGGAGAAACAAGTGAGTCTCAGGGAGAGAAAAACGCTCATCAAAATAAAGCTAGACTTTGGGCCAGCAGCTCTGAACACTTCAGAGTCGCAGATCCTGTCGGGAATCTGACGGACCAGGGATCTTCTCCCAAGAGATCAAAACAGAGGCAGCTGGATCGTGAGTGTCGCTGTGCCCGGGGATCCACCGGAGACCCCCCAGGAGCTTGCAAATCCAGCCAGAAGCCACCTGAACGGTGGGCACCCTCCATGCTGCATCCTGACCTGCCTCGGGGTCCCCCCAGGGGCCCCCCACAAATGCCCATCTCCAGGCACAAGTGCACGCCGAAACCCTGCCTGAGTATTTCGGGGAGCGAAGACGCGCCCAGACGCCGGCCCAGTGACTCGCCAGCCGGACCCACGCCCGATGCCCAGGGAGCGGCGGGGAGGCTGGACGGGGCCCCGGAACCCTGGGGAGCACTTACCATCATGAGCTCCTTCTGGAAGGACTTGCGGTCTTTGTTCTCCGTGTTGTTGCAATCCTCCTTCAGCTTTTCCAGAACGGACGCCACCCGCTCGGGCTCACTGTCCAGCTCCGCCCGGCAGAAGAAGGTGAGCGGCAGGTTCCCGTAGCCCAGGGCGTCGGCGAAGGAGCGCCAGCTGCTAATGTTCTCCATGAGCAGAGTCCTGACGGAGGCATAGATGTAGGTGAGGAACTTACACGGTCGCAGGATCTGCTCGAGCAGCACCGAGGTGCTCAGCTCGGGCCCCGCGAGGAGGCTGGGCCTGGCCTTGCCCACCACCAGCACGTTCTTGGTGTGCACGAGGCCGACCCTGCCCTGGTGGTAGCCGATGTACCACTCCTTGGTCCACAGCTGCCCCTTCAGGCGGATCTTCTCCTCGCTGAGCAGAGCGATGGCATCGCCCTTCTTGTACTCCAGCAGGTAGTGGTTCTTGCTCTGCCGCACCACGGTCTTGAGCAGTTTGCCAAACTTGAGGCTGGACACGGGGCGGTCCTGAAAAGTCGGGTACTTGGTGGTGGCAGCAAACGGGGACAAGATGATCTTCCCGACCTCGTTCTTCTTGAGAAACCGTCTCTGCCCGGAAGGCTTGATGGCACTTTTAGGGGTGGCTGGGGAGTCTGGACGCAAAACTGGGTCAGGATGGCCTCCTGGTCGCCTTTCACCTGAACCCTCAGGGTGAAGTCGGACAGCTCGCCGGGGTTCTGACAGGCGATGGGGAAGATGAGGCGGCTCACTTTGCCCAGCTTCATCTGGAACCCCCTCACCACCTTGGCCTGCTCGCTGGCTTTGACCTCGTAATTGGTCATGTTGGAGAACATGCAGACGTGGAGGTCCTGGGGCCTGGACAAGACGAACTGGTGCTTACCCCAGAGCTGCAGGGCCACGGGGGCAGGGCTGGGCGCCTGGCGGGTGACCTCGCTGACCAGGAGCGTCTTTGGGGCGCAATCATGCCCAAAGATGGTCACCACTGTCTTGAAGGAGGGGTGGATGTGTTTGGGGCCATAGAGCCCCACCGTGATCTTTTTATTGATGAAGTCCCACACCGTGGAAGGGTAGAGAATGTTCGGGCCGTGGGCAACGATGGCCAGGTACATGCAGGGCTCCAGGTTGTCTAGCTGCACCTGGACCGTGTCCCCGTAGCTGTAGGTCAGTGGGATGGGGACATAGGGCCCTTCCTTCAAGTCGCTCCTCAGGCACTGGAGACCCACCGTGCTTTTGCTAAAAATGTCGTTTTTCACCTCGGCCGAAACTTTCATCTCCAAGATGATGTAGGTCTTCACCTCCAGGGTGCTCAGCTTCACCTCCAGCACCGGGCTGACGCTGCTACACCTGTCACTGTTGAGCTCCAGCGGGGGGTCCAGCAGGGCTTTCATGGAGATTTGCTGCGTCTCGCCGGGGGCCACGTGGCCCTCGGGCACGTGGATGCTGATGTTGGTGTCGGGCAGCTGCACGGCACCCCCGGAACTGTCCAGCTTGCACGCGATGCTCGTCTCCACCGCCTGGGTCTGGCCCCAGCCGGGGCTCTGGCCCAGCAAGTCCAGATCGTGGCACGAGCGCGCCAGCTTCCGGTGGCTCAGCCAGGCGGCGCGGAAGTCCTCCCGGCTCTGGAACTGCTCCGGGGCCGGCGACTTCAGGCCCGTGAAGAACCCCGATGAGTCGGGGGCGTCGGACTTGGCCTGGAGCACGGACAGCTCGGACAGACTGTAGGAGCGCTTGCTCCTGAAGAACGGGTTGTCCCGCTTGCCCGGCGCCTCCGCCTGGAGCCGGTTGGTGGCCGGCAGCTCGTCAAAGATGTTGCCCGTGCTGTTCGTGGTCGCGGAGCTGGATTCCGTGAACGACGACGTGCCCGTGTCAAAGAGGAGCAGGTCCACGGTACTTTTGGGCATCAGCTCATCCACGCTGGGCATCGCCGACACGTTCCCATTCAGAAACGGGTTCGTCTGGGCCCCGTTCCAGAAAGGGTTGTTACTGTAGGTTTTGCTCGGTCCCTTGTCATCCATCCCCACCCCGAGCAGGTCCAGCTCCTTGGCCACCTCATCCGGGCTGTCGGGAAGGTTGTCAATCACCCCGCTGTCGCTCAGAGTGGAGTTCCGGTAGTTCAGGGGCTGCACGTAGGACGAGGGGATGTAGCCCATCTCCGTGGTGTTGTGCGCGTACCACCACTCCCCGCCCGACGTGTCCAGGACGTACAGGTGGTCCCCCTTGGAGAACTTCAGGGTGGTGAAGTTGGTTGGGCAGTAGTCCTTGATTGCGATCACTTCCTTTGCATTTCCAAAGGGCGTGGGATTGTCTACTAGCAAGGCACTGGGAGAAGGCACTGCACGAAACACAAAGAAACAGGTGGTGAGCGCGAGGCAGTTAGCAGAAACCAGCCAAGGCCAACGCCGGCGTGGACTCTAGCTCGCTCGGCGCCGCGGGGACAGCTGGCCCGACCCTGTCTCCCTGGGATCGCTAAACTGCCGTCCCACTTTTAAAATGTCTTTTAATCTTTAAAGATTTGATTTTTAAGTAATCGCTACACCCAACGTGGGGCTCGAACTCACAGCCCTGAGATCGAGAGTCTCACGCTCCGCAGACCGAGCCCGCCGGGTGCCCCAGATACCGTCTCATTCTGACCCGGGTTCTCTCACGTACCTAGCTTACCGGAGCGGCCCCTAGGTAGGGAGAGAAGCTGGATGTGGGCGGATTTAGAAACAGCGACGTCCTGAGCAGAGTGACCCACTGCCTGCAGCCAGGGACGGGGAAACGAGAGCCTCAAAGCAGCTCCCCGTGTTGGCGAGCCGGTGCCATGCTCTGGCCTTCAATGCAGGACACAAGAACGGGGTGGGAGGGTTCCCTAGACAAGCCGAACCCGTTCTTCATCGAAATCAGACTTTTGAGGCCAATCTCTTCCAGCCTCCTCTAAAGGCTCACTCAGACCAACCCAGGAGCACCCTCTCCCGCATACCTCGAAGAGCAGAGGCTTATGTCTGGTGCCGTTCACGTTGTTTCCGAGCAAACGTTGAAGTCTGAGAAACCCCAACACTTTAAAGAGGGACTCAAACTAATGTATGGTCCGTGGCGTTGAACTACGTACGTTGCCGGCGTAGACAGTACATGGAGCAGCGAATTAAGGGTGTGTGTGTGTGTGTGTGTGTTTTGAAAAGTAACGGGTAATTAAATACCTAAGTGTTTTCTCTCCCTCCCATACACGACAACGTACATCCAGGGGATGAAGAAAGTTCCTTCGGAAAGGACTAAATAAGCCCCGACCCCAACTGCGCCTTGTCTCACGGAGTTTGCGGATACTCTGGCTTCCTGTAACCAACGCCTGGAAGAAAGGACCGTGTTTTGAGTGGAACTACACCCACATCTTCTCTGCTGTAGGATTAAGGCAATACACATTCTAGCCTAAGACACTGGTCCTCCAAACACACCGTCTGCCAGCGTCCTCTTCCTTTGAAGAGAAATAAGGAACTGAACTGGATTTCCTTTGCAAAGTCTTGGAGAAGAAAGCAGGACGTGTCTATTTTATTTCCACGAACCAGGTTAGAGAGAGATGCTTGGTAGGAAGCTCACCGGGGCGCTGAAGGCCCCACCCTCTGTGCAGGGTGTTGGGGGGAGGGAATGTGGCTCGGGGTCACTGGGCCTGGGACGCAATCCGGGCCTTTGGAAGCCGTGTGGCTTCCGGAGCCTGAGACTCTTTCCCCAACGGGCTCTGGTGAAGATGAGGTTCTCTGATCATGTCCTTAGCATAATGATGCTTACTCAGCCCACGGTAATAAGGACTCACAAAGGGTGATGCTAAAGTGGACATCTCCACCCCCCTCCTCCTGATGTTATTTCCCCTGTGGCACTTATCATTAATCAATATATCACCATATATATATAAATGATAGGTTTACTTATTGATTTGTTGGGAGGGGGCTGTGTCACCCCCATTAGGGTGGAAGCTCCCTTAGGGTCTGTTTTGCTCACAGCGGTAATCCGGGAAGACAGCCTGTCACATGGCAGGTGTTCAGCCAATACTCGGAGAATGAATGCTCATCTCCCATGCACACGACAGAGAGGCCATATCTGCGTAACGGGGTCAGGGTGTTTTCCTTGGCTGTACCGTGCTATACAATTACCCCAAAGAGAAATCTCTCAACAGGGAAGGCCTGGGAGTGAATAAAAACAGCCAAGTCACAGGGAATGCCTTTTGAGCGAGGGGTGGGGAGGAGGATGGGTCAGGCTGGGGTCAGGGGACAACAAAAGATCTCTCTCCCTTTGTTTTTGAGCCATGGGCTCCAGAAATATAAGCCCCTTTTTTGTCTCTTTGGCACCTCTAATGAAAATGTCACATAAAAATTAAGACCAAATGAAAGCCAGAGAGCTTGCCAGCTATTAAAATCTTGTTAGAATCCCTCAGAAGTTATATCCCTATTATGTTCCCCAGAACAATCCCCTCAGAGGGATATTTTTAAAATTAAAAACCAAAAGCTATTAAGCGGGCTTTGTAGATAGCCTAAGAAAATGTATCAATGCAAATTATCGCTTTAGTTTCACCAGACTGAGGAATAAAAATGGTTTCACTTAAAATTCCAGGCACTCTCCTCAGCAGAGAAGGGGGTAATGTACTGCACCCCGAGCATCAGGCTCCTGAGATGGGAAACGGCGCTGCTCCCTGCCGGGCCGCCCGTGGAAGTGGGCTCTGGTGTGAGCTCCTGCCAGACGGGTCCCTCCATCAGTCACTGTCACAGAGCACCCGGGGACCCCCGGAGGGGCGTCCACCCCCTCAAAGGCAGGAGAATCCGTATCAAATCCCATCTTAATGAATTCTGGGGAGCACTGCCCAGACTCACAGCTATCCTTGATTTTAATACCAAAAAATAAAAATTAAAAAAAAAAATTAAAAAAATCCCTGCATGTCAGGGAGTTCAGTGCACTGCGTAATCTAATTTTTTACCCCTTTGCCTCAGTTCTGGTTAATCAAAGGGCAGAGGACTTTGCAGCAGATGTTTTGGCTGGAATAAATCACCACCTTGATGCCCGGCTGCAGTGCTGCCTGGGGAAGTGGGTCCAGGGTCTCCATGGGCATCGAGGCCTCGGCTCACCAGCCCCAGCTCGCATCCCAGATTGTCCCGTTTGTCTTCCCCCCCACAACTGGGGTGTTCTGTTAGGACCCTAACACCTCTCGGGTCATCGTGATTATTTAAAAAATTCAGCTCTCTCAATTCAAGAGCCCAGCCCAAATCCCACAAATGATGCTCACGTGTCCCAGCTTTCCCCATAATTAGCTCGCCTAGAAAGTAAGAGGACAATGCCCATGACTGAACAGTGAGAAATGAATGGTCCCACCATTTACAGCAATACCTGGTAACGCCGCCTCTCTTATTAATAGAATCTCACAACTTCCTTCTCCGTTCTGTTCGTGTGAAGAACATTTAGGGCGATGCTCAGGGCTCCGAGCATACAGCACAGACGGGAAGGGAGAGGTTGAGGATAAAGTGAAGGGAGAAGAGATTAGGAAGAGAGAGAAACGTGGTACGTGTGGTTTTTAGGACATCGGGGAAGAGGGTCACATCATCACCTGGGAGACTGCGGTTTGGTTCAAGAACTATTTATTTAGCACTGACATTGTGCCGGGGCTAAAAAACATAAAGGTCAAGATCAGCTCCCGCTGCTCAGTGTACCCGGGATGGCCCAGCGGGGAACCATGACCCCTTGGAGTAAATGCCATAGGGAAGGCACCTAATGATGACGATGCTGTATCGCGTGGCACCAGGAAGCACCTACCACGGTCAGAATAGACTTCTCAGAAGAAAATGACCCACTGGTACCCATTCTCACTGACTCCGAGGCTCAGGGCGATTAACCCCAGGTTCACCTCTAAAGCAGGGGCCAGCCAACAATGGCCCCTTTATTGTTGTTTTAATAAAGTTTTATTGGAACACAGCCATGCCCGTCGCTTACTGTCTTCTCCGTCCTCGAGCTGCAACAGCACATAATAGCTGGGATGGGACCCTTAGGGCCTGCAAGGGTTAAAATATTTCCTGTGTGACCCCTTACAGGAGAAGCTTGCTGACCCTGGCCCCAGACCACCTTTTCCTCTCTAGCAGTTCTCACTATTTCCTCGGCTGACCACTCTCTCTCCTCGCCCCCCAGCACCCTACCTCAATGTCACCAAAACTCTCAAAAAGAGGAAACACAAACACATCCTGTATGAAAAAGTTGCATTACCAAGGGGAACATTCAAAACCTCCCAATACACCAAACCCCCTCCCCCCAAAACCCCCAAAACAAGTGGTTATTGCTTTAGGATTGGATTCACCGTTGACGAAGTTTAGAGAGCTAAACTTGAATTATCTGGATGGGAACTTGGCAGCCTTTAAGGCGGAGGAGTCCTTGGGTCTCAGAGCACTTGCAAATCTGTGCTCCCTGCGCCCAGCCATGGTTGTGTCCCCATGAGCTCACCCTTCTTCTTTTTTTTTTTTTTTTTTTTTTACCCCTAAGATTTTATTTATTTATTTGAGGGGCGAGGAGCACGAGCTGGGGGAGGGGCAGTGGGAGAGGGAGAAGCAGGCTCCCCGCTGAGCAGGGAGCCCATGCAAGGCTCGATCCCAGGACCCTGAGATCACCGCCTGAGCTGAAGGCAGACGCTGAACCAGCTGAGCCACCCAGGCGCCCCGTGAGCTCACCTTTGACATCATTAAAGCTCGCTTCTGAAAACCCCTCGCTCAGGTCAATCAGGGTCCCCTCGGACTTGCACCGAGGGAGGCCGCTGGAGTTGGCAGCTCGGATCCGTTGAGCTGCCATCTCGAAAACGCTCTTCCGGGGAGGACGGCTAAGGTTTCATCTCCTCCTCCGGGTGTCCCAGCGCTGGCTGAAGCTCTTCTCAGGCAACCATGCTGCCCGATGGGGTCGACTCGGCAATGTGCTTCTTCCTGAAGGCGGGGGGAAGAAAACACGAGAATCTCCCTTGAGCAAGTGAAACATGGGCTGAAGAGTGATTTTAGGGGAAGTGGGAATCCTCTTTCTTCCAAAGGCCGCGCCAATAAAGACAGACCCACGTGACCTTTCCTGGCCCAGGAGAGCAGAGTAGGGCTCACCCCCTGGAGCCTCTGTGCACCGACAGCCTATCTCCTCCTCAGTTCTGCTGCTGCGCAGGGCCTGGTGTCTGCACCCCTTCGTCCTGGGGCACGATGGGGTTTGTGAAATTTGTGACATTTGTTCTCGCACCTGGCCAGCCTGTTCATTACAGTGAACGAGGAGGACCAACAGGATCTGCACAGCCCACGTAGCCAGTTTCGGGGTTCAGGAAAGGAGAAATGAATCTGTCTGCCCAGGCAACGGCTGGTCCCTTATAGGCACAGCCCCAGCTGCGGCTGCGACACCCAGGAGAGCAGCGCTCAGCGCGCGCCCCTTGGAACCCCACCTCGGTGGGGTGAGAGAGGAGCGCTCCATGCCCATGCTCCCCTGAAATCCTCCCTGGCTCCCCAACAAACGACCATCCTGGATAAAATACACAGGCCGCTTTCTGCCTCTAAGTCATCCTTGTGTCCCGTGCGCAGATGAAGCCGTGATATATGCACCGGGTGTTACCAAGCCGGCGCAAGAAGGTCCTGGGGACAGAGCACAAGAATCATGACTCCAAGGCCTGTTTCTTTCCGGAGGCATTTGGGGGGTTCTGGAGATTGAGACATGACTGGCTGTGGGCAGGAAAAGGAGCAGCCAGGAGCCAAGAGCAGTGAGTCCTCCAGGCTCTTCGAGGGAAACGGGGAGACACACCCCGGCCGGCAGGGGCAGAGAGCAGCCCGAGGCCAGGCGACCCTCACTCCCCCATCGCAGCTCATAGAACCCGGGCTCAGGTCCCTTGTGCCTCCCTTCGCTGTGCTCTCCAGAGATAGCTGGAAAGTGCTGGCCCAGCTGTGCCGCCTTCACTCCTCAGAGGCACCTGGGGGCCCTACCACGGCCTTCTGCACGGGGGTGGCTTAGCCCCTCCGGGGCTGCCCTTCCCCCAGGCTCTGCATGCAGCTTCCCGGCCGAGCACCCACTGTGTAGTGAGCACCCCCAGCTTTGCACCCATGCTCCACCATTCGCGGGGAGGTCTTGGGTTCAATGTCTGAGTCCAACGCCCTCACCTCCATGCCCACCCAGTGGCGAGGACAGCCCTGTCCCGATTGATGTGTGTGAATCAATAGGATGATCCATGTAAGATGTACGTCGATGTAAGATCGACGACTGTGGATCCCCGCACCTTGGCCACCCCAGCCAGAGCCCGCCAAGCAGCCCCGGTCCTGGCTCCGAGCGACCCACTGGCAATGGCTCCAGGCAGGATTTCTTTCCTTCTCTGCCACACACCACCACATTCCTCACTGGGATGCTCTTGGAGAGAAGGGGGCGTGGAGCTGGACGCAGAGCCAGGCAAGCCTGAGGCCCAGGGTGGGAGCCCGCGGGCACCAGAACGCAACCCAAGCCCACCTGCCGGGCGGCCCGGCTTCAAAAAGGAGCCGTGATATTAAGCTCCATCGCTGAGATGAGAGAATGAGAAAACCCTTTGGATCTGAAAGACGAGTCTCACCTTCTGGAGAGAACCAACACAGAGAAAATGGGACTCGTAGATGGGGAGCGGGGGGTGGGGAGGACAGGCCGCGGGGGGGGGGGCTTTAGGATGGTCCTGAGCCCATAACCTGTGTCCGCAGAGTGGACTTTCAAATTTAATGACGATTCCTTACCCCAGATTCTAGGTCGGACTGTGCCTCCCGGGGAAGCAGCAGACAGACAAACCAAAGAAACGGGGGGCACAGAGGGGTGGGGAGGGTGCTGTGAAATCTGGCTGGCACCCCCTGCCCATCCCGTGAGGGGCTCCCCACTTAGTGCAGAGCTGCTCCGAGGACTCGTGAGCACGAGGCCGAGGACTCCGGGTCTTGCTCAGGCCAAAGGATGCTCTTCCCACCGAATCCACCCCACAGCCCTCCACCCACGTGCACGCCTCGGGCTGGTGTCCCGGTTAAGGACACACGGACCCCAGCACCCATGTGCTTTGGGAAAAGGGGTCCAGGAGTTTCCCGGGAGAAGCCATTCTGCCCAAGCTTCAAGAATGACCCAGAACAAAAAAGGAGGGGCAGTACCTGCCATCCCACCTCCTCTTCAATGCATGTTACCTGATTTCCCCCTCACAGCAAGATGAAATGGTTTCATGGAGGGTTTAAGAGAAAAGGCAAGATGGGGATCATCATGAGGCATAGCATACTGCCAGAGGTGGCTTCACTCCCACGCTGGTGGGGCCCCGGGGACCCCGAGGCCGGCTGGGGGAGCCCCGTGCTGCAACACAGAGGGGCTGGAGAGCCTGGCTACTGCCTGGCAGAGGGAAAGAGGAGCAGCCGTGCTGGTACTGACCGGGCAGGAGAGGCCGTGGGGGCTGGTGCAGGGAGGGCGCGGGATGTAGGTGCAGGTGGCGATGGGCAAGAGGCCCCTGGGCAAGCCCCAACTCCCTCAACGTCCTGTAGGGTAGGTTGGTGAGGTCGGATGAGGCTGATGTGATCCGGGGATGGGGGAGGAGGGGTGGACAGTGGGAGCCAGTTGTGCACCTGAGACACCTACAGAACACGCCAAGGCTCTCCAACGAGCACCTGCAAGAATCTGGAGGCTGGCAGATAGACCAGCAGATAAACACGCTCAGAGCGATGTGATTCTTGCATTCCCTGCCACGACCAAGAAGGTAGCGTGGGGTGAACCAGGGCCTCAGGGGAGGGCAAGGAGAAGGCATCCTCTGCATCTGGATCACTGTTTAAAAGTTGTTTACTGTTGATGGGGACGTAGTTTTTACCCTGAGCCAGGGCAGAGCCAAAAGGCGTGTTAGCAGTTCCACAAAGAGATCTGCAGTCCTTTTAGAAACACAGATTACCCCCCCCCAGGGGGTGCCGTTCAAGGAGCAGATAAGCCACCAACTGTACGGTTCTGACAGCCTCACGTTATCATCAGCCAGACCGAAGTCGAGGCACCGGGTGGCCGCCGAGCATCAACACGCTCATTCATGCCGCCTCTTCCGCGGGACGGGGGGCGTTTGTCCCGGTGCTCAATGCCCTGTGTGAAGCCCAGAATGGCAATCTTTCTTCTGGGACGGCAGGAGACGGTCCTCAGACAAGTCCTGACACTCACCACTGCCCCTTGGGGATGCTATTTTACAGCAAAGAGGGCAGACTCTCCTCCTGGAACCTGGAAGCTTCCCTGAGGAGGTACCATCAGGGGGACGGCTCACAGAGCAGCTGGCACCTCCACCCACCCCAGAGCCAGGCGCCGAGAGATCTCGGGAGGTTAACTCGCCCGGGAGGAGGCGGCCAACACCACGCTCCGTGCTCGAGCACCCTGCTAAGCGCTTCTTTCCAAAGCCAGAGTGCAGCAGGGCTGATTCCTCCCGCCACCCCATCCACGGGCTCCTCCCCAGGTCAGGTCAAGGTCACTGCCCAGCTCCAAACTCGGCAGGGTCGCTCACTGCTTTTTTTTTTTTTTTTAGATTTTATTTAGTTATTCATGAGAGACACAGAGAAAGAGGCAGAGACACAGGCAGAGGGAGAAGCAGGCTCCCTGCAGGGAGCCCGATGAGGGACTCGAACCCGGGACCCCAGATCACGGCCAGAGCCGAACCCAACCTCAACCCCTGAGCCCCACCCCGGGCGCCCCTTGCTCACAGCTTTCAAATCAGTGAGGTTCGATTTCCCTGGCCCGGCCTTTGGAGCCCCCGTGTGACTCGGTTCCCACCTGCCCTTCCAGGCTTGTCACTCACCTCCACACCCACGCGAGTCGGTGACTGCACGTGGGCCTGCTGCCTCTCGAGCATGCTCGGGGCGGCTGGGCGTCCGCACCCTGAACACATGCCCCCCCACCTGCGCCTCCAGGGAAACGGTCCTCTCCCTCCACCCTTCCCGCCCCACCCGCCTCCCCTCCGGCCTGCACGCCTCCTGGGTGACTCATGTGCTGGGCCCACATCTGCAGTCCGCGTCCTCGAGCTCCAAATTCGAGTCGCCGGGGCTCGAGGAGCACGGCCCCTTGAATGGGTCCCTGCCGTGTCCGAAAAGCCACGGTGGGGTAAGTGACAGCGATGCTCCAACTTGCTTTACAATGAGTGTGTGAAGGTTCGAGACTGTATCTGGTGGTACCGGACTCGACTGCTCCCTGTTACTACATTTGCTGCACGTCAGGCTGCCTTCCCTCTGCATTTTCTACCCTTTTCCCTATTTTAATATTTTTAGATTATTTACTACTTTATTTTTACTCTTCTCCTAATTACGTACATGGTTCAAAAATGCCTGCAATCAAAGAGACACTAGGAGAGTAATATCAAGGAACATCTGCCACCTGCCTTCCCAGACACGGATCAGGAATGACGTGCAGGCGTCTCCCTCTGACTAGGGAAGCTCTAAGGAGCCACAGGGTCACACGCCCGAGCAGCACAAGGAGACACGGCCCGGTTCTTGCTCAGTTGACAAGTGACCCCCGGACCCCAGACCCAGGTCACCGAGGGGCCCTTCAGGGCTAACGGTCGTCCGTTCTGAACGTCCTGGGTCCAAACACAGCTCGAGCCCCTGCCAGGCTTCACCAGCTCTGAAGGTCACATGCAACCAGGCAAAAGCACCGCCCCCCCGACCTCACCCCACCACACACACCCCGGTCAGGACCTGACCTCTGCCTGACCTCGGCACCCCCACGGTGGCAGGCATCAGCTCAGGAATCAGCTCCTCCCCGCAACTCCACTGTGCCCGACTCTGCCCTCCGGGAGCCCACCCCTCAGCAGTCAGAATGTTTCTAAAAGTCCCGACCGTTCAAAACCCTCTGAAAGCCGCTTAGTGCTTAGTGAGCTTACAGTGGCCTCAAGGCCCCACACTGTGGGTCCCTGCTGGCTCTGTGGACCCTTCTGAAGTGCTTCCTCAGGGCCTTTGCACCTGCTATACCCACACCTGTAGGCCCATGCCTACATATTTCCCAGACGCGATGCCCCGTCTCTATCCAGGGCCTGCTCAAATGTCACCTAATTGGCAGGGACAGGCGTCTGCTCCACCGACAAACCCTGATTCCACCCTCTTTCCCTACTTCCCTTATCAACACGACAGATCACGTGCTTTCCTGTCACCAGCCCGATTTCTCCAAGAGAGTGTACGCTCTGAGAGCCACAGGACTCACTCTGCTTCCGTTCCTCCTCTGCTGTGAGACCTACACGGACCGTGAAGGACGGAAGTCTATTTTTTTAATATTTATTTATTTATTTATTTATTTGAGAAAGAGAGAGAGAGTGCACGAGCGAGTGCACATGAGCAGGGGGGAGAAGGAGAAGCAGGTTCCCCGCTGAGCAGGGAGCCCGATGTGGGGCTCGATCCCAGGACCCTGAGATCACAACCTGAGCTGAAGGCAGATGCTTAACAGACTGAACCACCCCTGCACCCTAAGAATTCTATTTTAATAAAGACAAAGGCGGGGGGGGGGGCACCTGAGTGGCTCAGCGGTTCAGCTCAGGGCGTGATACCAGGGTCCTGGGATCGAGTCCCGCATTGGGCTCCTTGCGGGGAACCTGCTTCTCCCTCTGCCTGTAATCCCACAAATAAATAAATAAGATCTTAAAAAAAAAAAAAAGAAGACAAAGGTGGGGCGCCTGGGTGGTGCAGTCAGTTAAGCATGTGACTCTTGATTTTGGCTCAGGTCATGACCTCAGGGCCGTGAGCCTCGCATCGGGGTCCACGCTCATCGTGGAGTCTGGTTGAGATTCTCTCTCTGTCTCTCTCTCTCCCAAGAAATAAAATATTAAAAAAATAAATAAAGATAAGAGCTTCGGAGGTATTTTAACAGGTTATCGCTGCGATACTCTCCTCTAAAGAGCCAAAATCCCCAGTGAATGTCTAGTGCCCCCCAGATGGCCTCATGACTTGATTATACAAAGCAGGATGAATTCCGGAACCCTAGCCTCTGGTGGGAATCTAAGTTACACGTTCCTAAGGGCTGATGGGTTCCCCGGGTGGGGGCCTACAAGTCCAGCCGCCCTGCCCTCCACTAGGGTCGTGCGCTGCTGCTCTCCGAAGGGCGGGGGGCAGCCCCTGCACGCCCCCCCCCATCTTCCCCAGGCCACGCCTGCACGCGGGAAGCCCCCCTCCACCCCCCTCGCTAGAAGTCAGGTCTGGGAAGACAGGAAGGGGCATTAAAGCTTGCTTGTGCCTGACTCACAACTAATGAGTTTTTCTTTTCCTTAGTATAAAGGCTGATTCATGCGCGGAGAAAAGAGCCCGCTCCTAGCTCCTCCCCGGGAACCAGAGGCTGGCCTCCGCACACGCAACATCGCTGGACACGCACAGAATTGTTCACGGACTCCGGTGGCCAACTCGGGAGCCGCTACACAGCCCCTGGGCCACCTGGGCCCGCCCGCCCCTCGCCTCGGACTCGGGTGGCTCTGCCGACGTTCCACCCGAGAACGTTTCCAAAGACAAAGGCACCAAGGAAGAAACCAAAGAACCTGAGCGTCTGTGGGGTGCCAGGTTCCCCGGGGGCCCCCGAGCCGGGGGGCGGGGGGAAAGCTGCTGGGTCTGGGCCCCGCGTGCAGGAAGCACGGGACCCGCAGACCGCTCTGGGCTCCTCCCCGGCGAGGTCTGTCCGTGCCTCATTGGAGATGACTCATCTCCGCATTTGATTTTAATTTCTGGAGTAAGAGTATCGTGTTGATTGCATCAGATTTCCTCCGGGTTCAAAAGCGGGCATGGGTTTCAACCCGCTCTGGGTGATTCCAATCACCAGACTGTCGACAGAAACTCCATCCCGTCTGCTCACCTGGCTCGCTCCCCAAACAGCAGCGAGCTCAGAGAATCAAAATAATTCAAAGACGCCCTCCCCGGCTGGCCTGTCCCCCCGCCTGCACCCCCGTAAGCAGCAGCCGGGAGCCCACCGACCCGGTCCCGGTCCCCCGGTGCCAGCCGCAGAGAAGCCGGCCACATGCCCGCCAGCCTGCAGACCCGTGGGGGCTCCCAGCTCTCAGCAACCACACTGAGGACCCCGCAGGGGGAGCCGGCTGCGACCCGGCCAGGCCAGAGGGCGCCTCTGTGTGCTGCCAAGTCTCCAACATCCCTTCCCTTGGAGCCAAACGGCCCTGGAGGCCGATTCCTCAGCCTGCAAACTCCCAGCTCTCTGCATCCTGACCCTTGCCCCGGACCGGTCTGGGCAATACCCCAAGAGGACAGCCAGCACGTGACTGGTGTCCCCTTTCCAGGCCCACCCCGTTGGCAGGGATGGCCCTGGCTCCCGTTACGAGGACCAGCCCCAGCCGGGCCCAGAGAAACACGAACCTTCCCCACCACCCACCGTGGCAGGAGGCTTCCTACCTCGGGAGTCTCATCTCTAGAAACCGCTGGGCGCCCCTGTAGCCCGAGACGGAAACGCTGCCCTGCGGCCTCCAAGGAGGGCTGCCTCCTTCTGGGGGTGCAAAGGGCATGGCCCCCCTGGAGGGGGCCCCGGGGAATCCGCTTCATTCACCAGGGTCTGGAGTGAGCTTCAAGTCTGACGACTGAGTTTTAGTTTCGGGCAGCGGCCTGCTGCCATTCAGAGCCCCCAGCAGACCGGCTGTGAGGATCACGCACCCCAGTCCCGAGCCCGTCCGAAGAACATGGGCATCCCCCAGGCAGGGGGCCTCGTCGTCTCCGTGAAGACCCTCGGAGCCCAGCGTCCAGGAGCAAGGCTCTGCGCTCAGCAGAAGGAAGCAGCAGATGCGTCCAGGGAGGCCAGGCCCGAGGCAACGCGGAGCCTAAAGCTTGGAGGAGAGAGAAGGTTCTGTGCGCCGGACACTGGGCTGGGGACATGCACGCACTCAAGTCCTAATCTGTTCATCCAAAGCTCAAGAACCACCACCCAGGGCCCCAGGGGCGGCGGGGGTCCCGTGGTGCGGCGTGCCCACACGGGTCAGCATTTCTGACTCGCTGTTTCCACCCCCCGAGGGGCGAGGGCTGGGGGAGCCAGCAACACCGTGGGAGGTTTCACGGGTCAGGGACATCGGAGGACCCTCTGGTGCAGGCCGTCCCAGGGCCCGGCCCCCGCCCGGCCAGCCGGGTCCAGCCCCACAGTCTCGGCTCCTCTCTCCAGGCCGCAGAGGAACATCCAGAACCCCCGGCTCGCGCTTCCAGACGCTCCGCACACGCACCCCCCGTGCACACCGCATCCCACGTCCCTTCGTCTTCCCCAGACTCTGGCCAAACCCGGCTGCTGTGCCCTTGGTCTCCCTCCCAGCCACCTCCTGAACCCTGCCGCCCCCCACCCCGACCCTATCTCGAAGACCCAACAGGGCTCCTACTTTCTCGCCCATTAAAACCCGCACATCTGCGAGGGACCCCGTCTCACGGTGCCTTTGCCAACGGAACCCCATCTCTGTTCCGAGCCCCGCGGGGATCCGCCCACCGTCTCCTCTGGGCACCTCTGGGCACCGAGGGCTCTGATCCCCAGCACCACAGCTGTCACCACGCACGCGGTTTCTTGGGTCCCTAACAGGTGCTACACTCACTTCCCGGAGAGCTGGATACGCGGCTTCTCTCGCGGCCCAGCACTTGGCCCACGCTGTCCGGCGCCACCTGCTGAATGGACAAACGTCTCACCCGAGCAATTATTTGGCACCACGGGGCACCGGGGACCACCAATGGTGCAAGCGGATGGAGGAGCTCGTCCCTTCCCTCTCTTGCTTGCCGTGGGGTGTCGGGCGCGTACAGGACCCTGCCACGGCGAGGAGAGCGAGGTGGGTCCCCCTCGTGGGTCCCTGGCGCGACGAGACGGGAGCCCGCGGACACCTCGCTCCGCCCGTCATACCGTGTGTGCTCCGACGGCTGCTCCTCATCTGTCCCATTACCCGCGGCTGAAGGCGGCGGGGAGGTCACGCCTCTGGCATGGGGTTCAGGAGGCCGGGCGGTTTGTGGTCTGCCCCACTGAGTCACACGGGAAGGCCAGCTGCCCCGTGTGACCGGGCTGGCGGCAGACAGGCTGTGAGGTGGGGCCTTGTGATCAGCCCGGCGAGAAAGGCTTACCAACCCTGGTCCCCTGCCAGTGACCTCGGGAAAGACCGAGGGTCATTATCTCCGAAATGGTCTAACGGCAACGAGAAGGGAGGTCCAGTCGCTGGACTGGGGCTGCTGCTCCGGGGCGGGAGGGGGGGGACTCCCCTCCCACACCCTCATCGAAACGGCGAAACACCCGCACTAAAAAGCAGCTGTGATTTGTAGATGTTAGTCATCGATTTACTGTCTTCCAAAAGAAAAAAGAAGAAAAAACCTAAACTCAACCCAAATAGATACTTCTCTTTAGATCAACACATTTTTTTTTTTATAACTGAAGTTTATTTAAGGAAGTTCTTTTAAATGAAGCAGCTTTCTATTGCTTTAAAGAGGAAGCCAGTCTATACTTTAAAAAAAACCTTCCTTAGATACGCGGAGACCTTTTCGAGTATATGTGAACTTAAAAATGCCCTTTAAAAGTTCACGTTAGGGACGCCTGGGTGGCTCAGCCGGTTGAGCGTCTGTCTGCCTTCGGCTCGAGTTGTGATCTCGGGGTCCCGGGACCGAGCCCCGCGTCCGGCTCCCTGCTCAGCTTCTCCCTCTTCTCCCTCCCCGTCCTCTCATGCTCTTTCTCAAATAAATAAAATAACTTTAAAAAGAGGTCCTCTTAGGTAGCACTCTGGGAAAGCCAACGCTTGGCTGGTGCCACCCATGTCACAGATGAGTAAACTGAGGCTTGTCTGGTTTTAGCGAGAGGGGTGTTCCCCTGAGGTCTGTTTCTGAGACTCAGATTCAAAGGCCAGACTGAGACAAGGAAGGGACGGGGCGCAGCTTCCAGGGTTCTCCGCCGCCTGCCGCCCCCGACCGCTCTCGTTGATGACACACACGCGTGCCATGTGTCTGAGGCTCAGACCATGTGTCTGGGGGTGGACAGAGCCAGTGCTCACCCCCCCCCCCGCCGGCCTTTATGCTCCAAGTAACCCAGAAATGCAGGCTGCCTGACGGGGGGAGCGTGAGAAGGGAAAGCCAGCCCAGCCTCGTGACCGGGCTCGCCCCGAGAGCACCCTGACCCCGCTCCCCGCGGGAGCCAGATCGCGGCTGCTATAAACACAGGGCCGGTGGTAGAGACCATCCTCCTAACCCGACTTCCTCCGCGTTCTGGATTATCCTCTTAGGACGGCTTTCTAGCAGAGGACGGAGCATTGCCAAACGCGTTCCTGGAAAGTTCCAGCAATACAGACTCTCGGCAGCCGTGGGTGCCTGGCCCCTGCTCCGTCACGGGGTCACCGGCAGTTCCAGAAAAGCCCTGCTCACGGGACCAGCGGGGAACAGAATCCCGAAGTTCCAAGTCATATCCTCTGGCCGTGACACTCAGAAATTTCTCAGACACCTACTGCTACTTTTTTCTTTTTTAATGAAAATCATTATTTTATTCTTTCAAAGATCTTATTTATTCATGAGAGACACAGAGAGAGAGAGGCAGAGACCCAGGCAGAGGGAGAAGCAGGCTCCCTGCAGGGAGCCCGATGCGGGACTCGATCCCGGGACCCCGGGGTCACACCCTGAGTCAAAGGCAGATGCTCAACCGCTGAGCCCACCCAGGCGTCCCCCCTACTACTTCTTATTTCCTGTTTTAGGACCATGATTTCGTATCCTTTGCTCCATTACGAGTCTACAATTTCACGGTCCCCGCTGCAAACACCTGCCCCACTCCGCTGCCCGCACACACAGAGATCCATCTGCTAACTCGATCAAGTCTCCGTTACGCAGCCCCGTGAATCTTTCCTTCGTGATTTTGCCTCGAAACACAGAGAGGCCCACCTCCATGAAAATTCGGATAAACATTCACATCTATTTTCCTTTATCTAAAAAAAAAGGGGGGGGGTGTCTGTATGCCGACATGAACGTACAGAACTTATTTCGATGCTCAACGAGGAACTTCACGAAGTTCCTTACCACGGGGCGAAGCAGTCCCGCCCTCCGCCGGGGCCCGACTGCACGGACGTCGCCCCGATGCCTTCTGCACGCGGGACGTGGGCAGCCGTGCGGGTTTGGATCGGGCCTCTTCTGTGTCACTGGTCTGCAGGCTCTGAGAACCACATGGGCCCCAGTTCCCGTGGTGGTTTGACCACATCTGCTTCCCTGGTAGGACTAGCACCTTTATCTCAAAGTCTCTTATCAGCTATTTTCACCTATTTTCACCTATTTTTTCCCCCTTCTACATGACCTTTAAAATAATTGAAAATTAAAGTAATTGAATAAAACGTCTTCCCCCCACCCCCAGAGGCAACCCCGTTGGCCGGGCCCTGGTGAGAAGGGACACCCACCGTTATATACTTTATTCTTTTCTTCCAGAAACATGGTAGGTCTCATCTATTTAAAAACGGGCCCCAGGGCGGTGGGTGTAGACCAAAGACCGGCAAACTCTTTCTGTAAAGGAACAGAGAAGAAGTTGGACTTTGGGGAGCCACACATTCTCTTGTCATGAGGACTCCATTCCGCCCTCAAGTCCAGGCAATCCTGCCTCCAGAGTGAGCTCATCTGACCCCCTCTCTCTATTGTCGGCCTCTAGCTGAGCACCTTCTCTCTCCCCTGGTCTCCCACCTCCCATTCCCCTCACCCCCCAGCCCCAAACACACACGGCTAAGCCCTCTCCTTCGAGCAGCTGGGGGGCCTCTTAACAAGTTAAGTCTCTCCAGCGGCATCTCCCCATCTCCCTGTGCTTAGAATAAATCTATCCGGCCAATTGGGAGTCCGTTAAATCTAGCCTCGCACCCTGGACTGACCAATCTGGCCCCGCCCAGCCCTCCATGACCTCCTTTCCTTCTGAGTATATTCATTTTCCACGTGTAACTCATTTCTGCCCCAGGACCTTGGCACTGGCAGTTCCCGCTGGCTGGCAAGCTCTGTCCCCGCAAACTTCACTTTGCTGACAGCTTTTGCCACTCTGGTCTTGCTCAGTGCTTCGGGAAGGCCCCAGCTAACCGCTCGCTCACCACCGCGGCCACACTCAGCCGGATCTCTCTGTGCCTGACTGTCTCCACCCACAAGAGGAAGGGACAAGAGTATTGAGGGCTTGCACAACAGATGATGCCCACACACACCGTGCGCAGGGCCTTGGGGCACAGGAAACGGTCCGCAGAGGCAAGAAGCGATGCTGTTACCATGACCCAGCGCCCACACAAGCCCCGTGTTTGCACAGCAAGTGCTCTGAGTTTGTGCAAACCACATCCTTTTTTCTCTTTTTTTTTTCTTTTTTTTTTAACACGGCCTCGCTGCTTCCCAACTGCACCACTGTGGTCCGGAACGCTGAGATTTTGCCGCAGCAAAGAATTGCATCTAGTTGGGTTCACAGGTGCTTTATTAAAGGAGCCGGGATCCTTTGTCTATCAGCCACTAATCGCTTCCTGAGGTCTACCTCCGCTGCTCTAACCCCGGGTTCCGCGGAGTGAGGGTTAGACAGTACTCCATGCACCTTACTTCCTTTTTTTTTTTTTTAATTTTTATTTATTTATGATAGTCACACACACACAGAGAGAGAGGCAGAGACATAGGCAGAGGGAGAAGCAGGCTCCATGCACTGGGAGCCCGACGTGGGATTCGATCCCGGGTCTCCAGGATCGCGCCCTGGGCCAAAGGCAGGCGCTAAACCTCTGTGCCACCCAGGGATCCCCATGCACCTTACTTCCACCGCTGGAGCTACCGGAGGCCCAGCAGGGAGTTCAGGTTTGGGGAGGACACCGCCAGTCGTGCACAGCAACAAGCATCTTTTGGCGAAAACCTAAATGCCACCAGGCCAGGGAGGGGATGACACCGTGAAGCCCTATCGATATGTCCCCATTTTTCTAATACCCCCTGTAAAGAGGCTGCACTGAGCACGGGCCCCTTTGAGATGGACCCACCTCTCCTACCTGCAAATCTGACCTTATTTGGAAATAGGATCTTCGTGGAAGATGGAGGTCGGATGAAGTGATTGGGTGGGTGGTGGGTGGGTGGGGCTCGTCCACTATGACTGGGGTCGTTATAAAAAGGGCAAATTTGGACACAAAGGGAGATCACATAAGGACACAAGAGGAGGTGGCCGTCCATCCACACGCCAAGGAGAGAGGCCTGCAACAGCTTCCCCCTCACAGCCCCAGAGGGAACCAGCCCGTAGACAACCAAGGTCTCGGACTTGCGGCGTCCGGAACCCTGAGAGCGAATTTCTATTCTTTTCGGCCGCTCGGGTTGTTAATACTTTGTTACGGCGGCCCCAGGAAAATACACACACCCGGCATGCCTCTCCTCCGTGTGTGTGTGCGTCTCTCGATCCGTCACATCTCATTAAGACTGGAACGCCAAGACACAAAACAAAAGTCAGGCTCCCAACACAGAGAGCCACGGCCGCCACTGAAAAGTGTGACCTTGTTTCCACACTTCTAGAACATTCCAGCCTAGGCTCCCAAACCACCAGGCCAGCACTGATGGCTGCTCATCTCACACTCCTGAAGGAGTCTGATGCTGGCAGGCGACGCATGGGTAACTGGACTTGTACATCCTGAGCGTTCCTATAAAATTCTTGCCAAGTCACCTCAGGGCCCTTGCAAAGGCTTTTCCTAGTGGCGTCCAAGTAACTGGGGCTTTGCAACGAGCTGCTCTCACTAGGACGCTGGAGGTGCCTGGGCATCAGGGTTAACGGAGAACATGCTCGGACCCTTCGAAAATAGGAGGCGAGGGCAGAAATGGGAGGGCGGATAGAATGGTGGCCCCTCGTCCACGGGCAAGGCCGGGGAA